GCGTGCGTGCGTGCCTGCGTGCCTGCGTGCCTGCGTGCCTGCGTGCCTGCGTGCCTGCGTGCCTGCGTGCCTGCGTGCCTGCGTGCCTGCGTGCCTCCGTGCCTGCGTGCCTGCGTGCCTGCGTGCCTGCGTGCCTGCGTGCCTGCGTGCCTGCGTGCCTGCGTGCCTCCGTGCCTGCGTGCGTGCGTGCGTGCGTGCGTGCGTGCGTGCCTGCGTGCCTGCGTGCCTGCATGCCTGCGTGCGTGCGTGGGTGAGTGGGTGGGTGGGTGGGTGGGTGTGCGTGGGTGGGTGGGTGGGTGGGTGGGTGGGTGGGTGGGTGGGTGGGTGGGTGGGTGGGTGGGTGGGTGGGTAGGTGTGTGTGTGTGTGTGTGTGTGTCTGTGTCTGTGTGTGTCTGTGTCTGTGTCTGTGTCTGTGTTTGTGTCTGTCTGTCCCAAATCCCAAAACTCATGTTGCCAGGGGAAACCACCAAAACCACCACTTAGGCTACTTTGGATTGAAAACAAGGACTTTGGGGCCCCAAATCCAATCACACCATCCAATAGCCGCGCCTTCAGTCCCATGTCAGTCTGATGGATGCAAAGCTTGTCAACCCAAACGGAAGGCGACCACCTTCCGCCTGAAGCTCCAGTGAGGGTCGAGGGTCAGGGGATTGGTCTGAATTGGTCTGAAGGACCTGGATTCTCAGGTAGTGGTTTTCTCTGCATTTTTTCTGCTATTTGTTCAAGAAGTGTATCAACATCACTGGAAAAAACGAGTGCGAATGACGATTTCAATAATGCGCGACACTGTTCAACTTGATCAACGATCTTGTGGCGAATTGGGAGTCGCGAGCAGTTTTTGTCGCCGGTTACTTTCGGGCCTCTTGTTGACTTCTGCCCAGACTCCTGTGCAATCTCATACCACACCTACAAGATGCTTGCCAAATGGGGTATGTTTCTAGGAGAGTACCTGGAACTGCCCCAGAAAACAGCCTCGAAAATATACAGCTCCAAATCCTTGAAACAGATACTCAGTGCAAGTCAAGGATAGCAGGCTGGCTGGGCTGTCCTTCAGCGGAACGGACCAACCCACACAACCCGTGATAGATAATGGTCAGTTGCCCTCTTGCAACAACCAATAAATAAACCGGAATGCCCGTGAAATGTTCTTTTGGTCGACTGCTGTTTCAAACGAATCAGCCCGTGGCAAAGGAACAAACCCGTGGAAAAGACACCCCAAGAATGGGTGAGTGTGCCCCCTTTCTGTTTTGGAGCGTACATCATTTTTGTTGATGCGCAAACCCTCTCAAACATGTTCGGGGATGGCACGGGGTTCCTTACAATGTACATAATAGCCAAATGGAAAACCACATGTTGGTGTTTCTTAAATATATACCGAAACATATGTGGCCCATTTTGGGGGAGGCTTCAATCAATGGCAAATGTCATCCCTCTGGGTGTCGCGGCAAATGTTTTTGCACGCGCAAAACGCTTTTGATACTGCTTTTGTTGAACGTTGGACTTCCGTCCCTGGCCAGATTTTTGGACCTCCGGTTCTACGTAAAAGGAAGGGGTGAGAGCTCACTGATTGGTCGAAGTAGCCCCCATGCTTTCCTTCATACTCTTTCTGCAGCCGCGCTGTCTTTTTGGGCACGGGAGTTGGGTCAGGGCTCCAATTGTGTAAAGTACCGCAAAACGATGAAGAACGAGGGCGGATATACGTAGGGGACCTCCGGTTTGCTGGGCCGATCCTCTTCTTGGGCGGTGTCCCATCACAAGAACCAGGGCTTCAAATCCAAACCAATCCAAACTACCACGGGGGTTCCCTGACCTACTGTGGTTGGAACGAAAAAACAACAGACAAAACAATACTTCGCCAACTCCAGGCCCCATGCGCTCTGTGAATGTGTATATACTAAGCCTTGCCTGTAGCAGTAACTCTTTACCACCAACTTACCTCAAAAATGTTTCCCCAATTTTGTGGGTAATTTACCCCTAATTTTGAAATGTCCTTCGAATTTCCCCCGATATACACCAATAGTCCCTTCATTTACTCACAGTTTCCCACTAATTTACCCACCCGCGTAAAGAAGGCATGCAATGTATTGATAGAGGCGAGCCTTAATGTATATATATATATATATGTACATATAAATATATATATATATATATATTACACATTGTAAGTACAACGCCAGACTCCCACCATGTCTTCCGCTGCCAGGCTGCAAATATGTTGCCCGAAGAAGAAGACCACGAAGAACCTGACCGCGCCGGAGTTGAACCCGAACCAAAGATGACACGCCCATGTCCACAAAGAAAGAGCCTTCTCGCGATTTTTTGCTGGCTTCCATGTTGATCTGGGGAGCCGTTGGTCCGGTCTGTTTGGTGTAGGCCGCTTTTTCAACACGGGTTGGGTTCCATCTTTTGGACCATCAGGATCTTCCCAAACATCCAAACCCCCCCCCTCGCCATGCCAAGCTGTGCCTGGCCACAACTCCTTGGCCACATCACCGCTCCTTCATATTAGGCTATTAGACTCGGGCTTTGCCAACCTTCCAACGCTATTGGGCTGGCCTTGAGGGCGGCAGCCCCACAGCAATCCCGGCCTCCTGGACTACGGGCCCTATGAACCACCCTACATCCTGAAAACCAGCTCACACATTTCGGCGCCGACTCAATCACTCAAAACACACGGCACTTCAAAGCAAACCAAACACAGTAGGTCACAACCTACCAAAAGAGTCCCGCTGACACTCGCCAAGGTGGGCAGCGCTCACCAAGACTTGCCTGGTGTTCCTCTTGTTTCGTGGAAATCGTGAGTCTATATAACCAACAGAAACCCCTATACGCACCCATGTGGAGCTTCACTCGGGATTCCGACCGACTTTTCGAGTATCCAAGATGCACGGTCATGGGCAGGTACACCAAGCACGGCATCGCCAGCGGGCTCCCGCCCAGGCCGGTCATCCCCTGAACGTCTGGCTTCGCAGCGCTGATTACAGGTGTGTCTCAACGTGAACCTCTTCTTTGGTTTGATGAAAAACATGGAAAACCAAAAGTTTCACAAATCCTCCTGGTGATGATTTGTTGCTACCTTTAAGCCAGCCATTTAGAGGACCATTTTAAGCATGTCGTACTAGAGTTCGTTCATCCAAACGCCCCCTCTTATCTCTCTTTTTGGCAGTGATCTAGAATAGACCAGGCCACCAGCCGACCAACCAACCAACCAACCAACCAACCAACCAGCCAACCAACCAGCCAACCAACCAAGCAACCAACCAACCAACCCACCTACCACCAACCAACCAACCAACCAACCATCCGCCTGAGCCACTCCTAATTGCTAGTTAAAAAACGGCACCTCCATCGGGGGAGGTGTCCAAAAACCAGTGATTCCCGAAAGATTCAATTCTCGAATGACGCGGTTGCAGCTGGTTGCGTGATCTGCATCCCCACTTGCCCCCATGGTTCGCCAACCAGCGGTCTCCAGCACTAAACGTTCTGACATGGGCCACAGCTAGAGCCGGATCCCAGCGGCTTCAAGACGAATCGGTTGTGGTGGGAGAGGTCAGTGCTAAACTCAGCGCTCACAGCGCTGCTTTCAGTTCTGGTGGGTGGTTTTAGAAAAAAGACGTGCCGATCAGCGCCACCTAGGGTTGTCTCAAAATAGGGGAACCCCCAAACTGCTTGTGTCCTGTTGGCCACCCTTTAAAGAACCGCAGAACACAGGGGCACCGCATGGCTCGGTGAGATCTTGGGAAGAAAGTTCCTCAAGGCCGGGAAGCCTGGCATGGAGCTGGGAGCGGACAAAATTCAGTCAGGAGTCAGGGAACCGCCAACCACTTTTGGATTTGCGGATTCTGACCAACAAATCGCATTTCAGGTAACCCTTGATTGGTGGTTTGGATTCGTGGCTTAAGATTCAATGGGGAACCCCTCCTTAACCACCAAACCACCAATCCAAACCACCAATTGTTATTGTCGTTGCAATTTCCCATATAAAAAGCCTCGGAATGCTTTCGGGCAAACCACAAAAAAAATCTTCGGGTACGGGGAACCCGCCCCCCCCCCCCTCATTTCTGGCTTGGGAAACTTAAACCTAAGCTGACACTTTAATGGACACCCCAACAGAAACCTGAGGCAAATCGTGTTGACAACCTGAGTTGAAAACCTGACAGAAACTTAAGCTGAAAACTAGCAGATGTAGACGTGCATGCGGCATGCGGCAAAAAAAAGAGAGAGCCTTATATCTTGACTTAGTTTCTCAGTATGTGAATCATAGGCCGAGTGGTGTTCTGATTTCGGATCCCAGCACCTTGGAGCCCAGCAGTACCGCCACAGCCACACCGCAGGCCCCCAAGGAACAGCTCACAGCCAGGTCCAGGTTGAAGAACCTCGACCGGGTCCGTTTCAGTGATCATTCAAGCGCTAAGTCAAACCGGTGCGGGTCTTTTTCATGCAAGCCACTTTTGGGGGTTCCACGGCCATTTTCGCTGCTTGGAGGCCGGACACAGATCCAGGACATGCATTTTTGATGCAGCCTGTGGTCAGCGAGCGCTGTGCTGTAGCCTTGGTCTGTGAACCATCCGACTGTAGACAGAGGGAGGGAGGGAGGGAGGGAGGGAGGGAGGGAGAGAGAGAGAGAGAGAGATAGCCAGGTTGCGCGGTGCGTTTAACCCACATTTATTCATTCTAGGAGTCAACTATTGGCGATGTTAGGTTTCCTATTTAACATAAAACCATTTCAGTAAAAATTGGTTTCCATTCGACAAACCGTGGTGCTGGGTGGTGTTGCATCAGTCCCAAAAATGCGATTTTGACAGATCGAAGGGTCTGCCACCTTCTCGTCTCTTTCTCTGGGACACTCACAAATCAGAATCAACCAGGCGTTTCATATTCAAGCGTGTTCAATTTACCTGTAAATCGTGGTTTGTCGGGAAAACTTCGCAACCCTTTGAAGTCTTACTTTAGAACCCTACTTCTGTTGCATCCTCTTTCTTTGGTCGCAAACCTGCGGGAAAAGCAAAAATATCCAGACTAACTTGTTGGCCAGGTGATGACTTTCCGGGGTGACCAACATGCAATGTCATTGGGCACCTGTTGAATATGTTCCCTGGCTCAGATCAAGGGGCGGCCCTTTTCAGGTCGCAAACAAGTCGATCCTAACCTAGAAAAGAGCTGTGAGTGAAATGGAGTGCTTCACTTCGTACCTCTGGGAGAAACGAGTCGGTAGAGGTGAAGCCGGAATGCCCGGATCCCGACTCCTTGGTTTTGAGTCGGAATTCTTCGACCCGGCTCCCAAAGTGTGAAGCTTCCCCGAAACCGAGCAACATGGTTGGGGAATACTGCAGGAAGCCACCGAAATGTGCGTGCCCGTGGTTGGCATCGGCTTTCTGGTGGGGTGGGGATTCGTGAATCACGGCCCTCCGTTCATCTGCGAATTGTCTGCCCCTTGTTCACTTATCAACAGGGTTGGGGGGCTTAGGAAGCTCAACTGAAGTGATACGGGCAGGTCTTTTCTTGAGGACACCCCTTGTTTGGTGGTGTTTCAAAGGGAACCCAAAGGGAAACCACCGTTATCAAAGGTCCGATAAAAGAAAGCTAAACCCATATGACAGAAGTGGAAAGGCAAATAGAGCCGCCATATTTCGGGTCCTTAGAAGACAGGAGATTGATTGTACCACAAATAGCCAATTGGGAGACAGAGGGTACGACAAGCAACAACTGGGGGGGTTGACAAGCAAAGGGACTCTCGGGTCATGCCTCCTTAAGGGCACTCAATGTCGGCCGCAAAAGGGTGGACCACTGGGCTCATGGACTTTTGCAGGTGTGGCTTTTGGAGGTATGCAGGTTATGCCACAAGCCTACATCTGCGCATTCATAGCCTCAAGCCTAAAAAATAAAAATGGCCACGACCCCTCTGCTCAAGCAGCAAACAGAGGGCCAAGAATTTCTGCCAGCGCCCTGCACTCCAGGAGTGGCCGATGAAGACGTCCACTTTGTCCGTCTCTGCAGATGCATGAAACAGGACATCCCCGGCAAGCTGCACCTCAGCTGGGTTTAAAAAGACACAAATGGGAAAAACGGAGCAAATCCAGATTTAGGGTTCGCATAAATGTCAAGAGAAAAATATACCAACCGTCTGTGATTGTTTCTGGAGGTACCCTGTTCAGGTGTTGGGCAGGGCCCCTATTTCGACACATACTCAGGTGCACAAATTGCACAGGCTTAGTACCTTCAACACATCCCAAAAGCCATAGGTAGACCCGGGTCATTCTATTGACCCAAACATTGCACTAGAGGGACAACCCGATCAAACGGAACGGCATGGAAGTGGAATGACCGCAATCTGGGCAAAGGATTCTCCGTTCGGGTCAGGTGGTTTTGGAACCCAAACCTACTAATGTGAGCCACGTGCAATATTCATTGTGTCCCCGACTGGCATTGTGTCCGCATCTGACATCGAATGTTGTTGAGAAACAAACGTTTTGTGATGGTAATTTGGAGACTGTGCCTTGTGACATCCCTTTGTTGCAGTAGATGACAGTACTTGGATATTGACCGTGATGTGACAAGGCTACACTTGAGCTGTGCAAAGTGGAGCGTTGGCCAATCCGAATCCATAATCCACTGGTTTTTTCAAAGAAGGCACGTTGGCGCGAGTGGAGTTCGATCGCCCCGGGCCTGCTGCTTGGTGGGGAAGCGCACTTCTCCTCTGATGGGATCCGCTGCAAGCAGCGAGCTGAGGCTCCCGTCAAAGATCCTCCCGAAGCCTCAGGCTAAACCCGTCCAATTGAGGGGTGCTCCCTCAGTTGTGATGAATCATCAAAGGGGCAAAAAACTATCAACCGAGGCGTTGTAAATCTGGGGGTCAACGAGGTCAACATTACCCAGAATGGTTCTCAGAACCTTCCGATCAGAACAGAACACCTAAGCTTGTTTTGAAAAATTGTCCGGGCTCCCATTTGACTAGACCCGGGTATCAAAAGAGAAGCCACTCCGAACCAAAGGGACACCCATTCTTACACAACGTGACTCGCCCTTTCCCCTGGTGCTTGGGTGATTTTCCGGAAAGAAGGATGTACCAGAGGTGCGGTTTGGAACCCGAGCCCGGCCGCGTCTCTGTGTATTCTTGGGATTGTCCCCCACCTTCATCCACCCGCACTTCGATTATGACCCAGCTTGGAAAACTTGCGCCAGCCAAGCTGCAGGGGCCCAACGTTTCTCTGGAATTCAAATCCTCCCCCATCCCCCCCACATCTTTGCCCAAAATATGACCGTAAGTGCTAACCGAAGTGAAATTGCCATGGCCGAACGAGCATCTTGAGAGGTTCTCAAAATGGTGAACCTGGTGAACCCCTTTTCCGGTGTTAGCTTCATGCAAAAAGGCAAACTGATCCTTGTGGTTGATCTTATCTTGTCCCGGGCTTGTCAAATTGACTACCAAAATGGCTTCGGCTTTCTGGTGAAACCCCGACCATCTCGAAGCCCATTGCAACTTTGACCCTTAGCCCCAAGCCAATCGCCCATAGATTCGGCCTCGAGTGCCTTCCCTCCCCACGTGGACCCGTTGAGGCGCCCATGAGCACCCTTCTCGCCGTGGCAGCCCGAAAATGCCCGGACCTCGCAACCTGCCAGCTTTGCAGCGCCTTTTTGTTTGAGTTGGTTCCCTGTTCAGGTGGTGTTTAACGGGAAACCAATGTGAAACGAACCATTTTGGGGGGGTTCCTATTCCAAAACGGCACACTATGGGGCCTTAAAGGAATTATAGTTAGGAAACGCCGACGAAAAGTTGAAACTGATGTCAGTACAATACAATACGGCGCAAGACACACAAAAGGAGATCCAAAAGAAGCAACACGCGCGGGAGGCGAAGCAGTTCGAGGGCTTCCGAGGTCGCGAAAGCTTACCTCGGTTTAGCGCACGGGCTCGCTTCGGGTTTGCCGGAAACTTCAAAAGTTATCCACGTGCGAATTTGTCGCTGAATGAAGCCTTGGGTAGAACTTCCGTCATCCAGTTTCGCTGGAGCTTACCTGGGGTCTAAAAAACACACCCATATGCTTCTGGTTCGCTAATTTCGAGGCTCACCTTGTTTAGACATTGGTCTAAGGCGGTTTAAGGGGAAAACATCGATATCGTTGTTGAGGTCCCCCCCACCCCCCCACAGCATTTTAAGACACAGGCAGGCAACTCAATTTGGACCCAAAAGGCGCCGCTCACGGGCAAAACAACAAAGGAGTTAATCACTGGCCCAGGTATCCTTCCCCGAGAGCTAGAGGAAGCCATCCCAAAAAGTCATCTCGACTCGAAATCTTCCGGCGAAAGAATCTCTCCCTTCCTTTCCCAAAAACTTCCCCGGCTAAGGGTTACTCCTTCCTTTCCCTTTCCGGCTATTTCGAACCCTCTTGCCGTTTAAGGGCTCACCCTTTCTCAGCAAAAGCGGCCTGCCGCACCCCAATGACGAGGGGCTCCTTGGCTTCCATTCTGGTCAAGAGCGCTCGCTCCCACCCTGGCCTGCCAAACACTAACATGGGAAACATTTGGGGAGGAGGCGACACTAAAGGCGCTCGTTCGTTTTCACTCTCCGTGTGCTGTGTGCCAGTGTTGATCGCTTTGGCCAACCAACTGGTATCCTGCCACAGGGTCAGGATCCAGTTCCCAACAGGTTCCAACTTAACCACCCAATGCACTCCAGCCGAAAACGAGCCCTTCTTTTTCGTCCAAAGCCAATGCACTCACAGGTACTCAAAAACTCGGATACAACCCCGAAGTGGCAAATGCCAGAGCCCAATAGGAAACGAACTGCGGGTCAGCTGAAAAGAGTTAGCTGGAGCCCCTCGTCCTTGAACCCTTCGCGAGAAATGCCATTACTCCAATTTGACTTGGATTGTACCCAATCAAAATAAACTTGGGTCTGTAAACCAAAGAGAGCTGAATGCGTCAGCAGACTGATACGGTCTAGATCCTTTGTATCGGACTTGCCTCGGATCAGAGCCATGAGGGCTGCAACATTGTCTATGAACACAGCCCAGTGCGTTCCGCAACAAGGCTGGAAAAGCTGCCAACGCTGACAAGATCATGAGCATCTCAAGTTGTGCAATGTGCCAGCCATCATCCCTCCAAAAGTCATACATCTGTGTGGGGATATCAACAACATGTCCAAACCGCTGTTCAAAAGGAGTCCCAGGGTCGACAACCAACAAGAAACCGCTGTGCCTGCGAGGGGATTTCCAAAGCAGCATCGCTAGCTACTAGGAACCTCGGAACCGCCCTTTGCTGGATGGTCCAGACGCGCCTGGTCGCTTCGCATGAGAGCCTGCAGCAGGGTCCTGCCACATCTTCGTACTGGACTCTACGGCGAAGATCTCCCGCCTGTAACTTCGGGGGGTCTGTGGGAGAATGGAATTTTTTTACGCCGCCTCGAGCCTCGAGCCAGCTGGTCGTAGCTCGGCGGAGGCAGGCGGCTCTGGCGTGACTGTCCGGAGCTGCGAGAGCTTGCCCGGGAGTTCGGCTGGGACTGAGGCAGAGTCACAGGGTTCAGGCCCCAGGAGAAGGGCGTGGGCGTGTGATTGGTCCGCCTGGACTTGGAAGCCAGACTGGGAGGAGGCGCGGCTGGGGCTGCGTGGCGTCGTTCATGTTGTTGGCGGACCGGACGTCCTGCGCGGCCGCGTCCTCACTGCCCTGCTGAGGCCGGAAGAGCGTGTTCTCCAGCACCCGTGCCGCGCGCGAGACCGTAGGCTGCGCCGCCTGCGAGTCCCACGGCCAACCCTGCCGTTGCCGCTGCGCCGACTCCTGCCGTGGCAGCCAGCGTTCCAGCAACCTTGCCCGCTGTGGGTGCGAGGGCTGCTGCTCCTTCTGCCAGGCCTCCCAGGTACGCAAAGGCCCGCCTACGCTCGGCGGCGGCAACGCCTTCGGCAACCTCTCTCCCTCCGCAGGCGGAGGAGCGTCTCCTCTATGGCCTGCGCTGCGCCACGCTCCACCTCCTGCGCGCGCTGCCCCGCCTCGTCCAGGAGGCGCTCTATATGTCGTCGGGTCGACTGCGGAGGTGGCTGTGGCTGAGCCCTGGGCGAGGCGTCACGTTCAGGCGGACGTACTTAGCATCGTCCTGGGGGAGCTGGGCTCCGAGCAGGTCCTCGGGCTGTCGAGCCGCGGAAAACCCTGCGGGGAACCCTTGTGCTACCCGCGTGGCTACCCGCGTGGTAGTTTCACGGGTGTGAGGCGGCTGTCGCTACCAGCAGCATTCCATCTGCTTTTCCACTTTGTCTCCTTCCCTGCTCTGGGGCTGCGCCCAGTCAGGAAGGTACGGGTGGTTAAGTTGGGAACCTGTTGGGAACCACTGGATCCTGACCCTGTGGCAGGAGACCAGTTGCAAAGCGATCAACACTCAGGCACACAGCACACGGAGAGTGAAAACGAACGAGCGCCTTTAGTGTCGCCTCCTCCCCCAAATGAAGATGCAGCGGAAGCCCCGAGCAAGACGCCCAAGGTTAATCGCCTTGGCCGCCTCACTGAAATGGAAGAATGGGATCTTGTTGCCAAATGGGGCGAGTCGACTGAGGCTGAGAACCCGTTTGCGTTGCAGAGAATCAGCAACGTCACTGACTACATTGACCAGCTGTTAGACCCAACGCAAGCCGAACAAGCGCAAGGCCCAATTGAGGAAACTTTGGGAAGGCGTTACGCCTATCCTAAAACAACAAGTCCCAAAAGGCAGCCAGGTTTTCAATGGCAAATGGGTAGACAAATGTTTCAAGGGCATCTACAAGAGCAGGTTCACCTGTGCAGATGCCAGCCAGATACAGTCCTGAGCAGGAACAAGACATGAACGTGTTTGTTCCCACGCCCGCGCCCGAAGCGCATCGCAGCCTTCCGGAAGGGTTACAGCGTGCGAACCTTAGACATAGTTGCCGCATTCCTGATCGGGACGTGGGGCTCAGCAAGGAAAGCCGGTGTACCTTCGAGCGCCGCCAGAGTGGTGGGACATCTTTGTTGAGTGGTCCGACCAACTTCCAAAGGCAGAGCGGGAGCTGTGCAAGACGCGCTTTCGTGACGTTTGGGCTTGACGGAAACCTTTATGGTCGTCGGACAGCCGGCAGTGTTTACAGGGATGAACTTGAAGAGGTGCTCGGGAAGCTCGACCCCGCTTCGAGTTCAAGCGAGGCGTCAAAGACCCATGCGTGTACCACTGCAGTCGCACGGATGTCACGTTGCACATCGATGACATTCGGTGCGTAGGCCCAGACTTGGTTGAGGAGGAAATCCCAGAGCCAAGGCATCGCTGGGCCGTACCAAGATTCGTCTTGGACGCCATACTGACAGTCCCAGATGAAAAACATGCCCGCAATGTCATTGCAGCCCTTGGGTTGCAAGTGCCTTCCAAACCTAGACCTCACTCAGAAAGAGGAACTGGATGGCGAGCGAACTGCTTGCAGTCGCATCTCAGCTTAGTCCGCGTCAAGACGCTCGACCCCACACAGAAACAAGGGCCGCTGAGCATCGATGTGTTCAGCGATTCCGATTGGGCAGGTTGCCTTGAGAGCCGACGCTCACATGTAGCTGTGGTTGGCGGGGCGGTGGTGCAAGTCACCACACAAACCCAGCCGGGACTGCCAGCAACGAGCAGTCAGATGCTGAGTTGCGGGGAGTGTCAAGAGTAGCCCGAGAAGCGTTGTTCTTGCGTGAACTTGCCGAGCTGGATTTCTGTCTACCAGTCACCAAACCAAAGGGACGGAGCGTCATGGAATCCAGCTGGCAATTGGAGGTGTGTGAGTTCCCGTGCAAGGAGCTGTGCAATGTGGGAAGCTCGTGCTCAAGAAAATCAAAGGCACCGAACCCAGGAAATTTCTTGACCAAGCATCCCAAGAGTGGCGGTGATGTGCTGGAAGCTCTGCCGTCACTTGGAATGGCTTCAGGGAAGTCGACTTCGGCAACCAAAAACGAAACGACCAGCAAAAAGCTGCGCACCCCTGGAAGCCGATGATGCACGGGTGTCCACGACGCTAGGGGTTTGTCTTTTCTCCTGTGTTTTAATCTTGGTTGAAAATGAATCTTTGGCCGCGTGGCCATTTCTGCTTTAAGCCTTTTGGTAGGGGACAGGTTTGACCCCTCTTTCGTTCTTTTTTGAACTTGGAACTGCCGCGCCGCCATGGCCTTCGCTTTTGAGCTGTGCATGCACTTCGCATCCGCCTTGATTTGGCAGTTACACGCTGTGGCATGGATCGCGCACACCTCAGTGGACGACGCACCGGCGTCCGACGTTCCTGACCTGAGCACTTCTTTTTTGACACGGCATCGCAGTCGGCAAAGGGATTGCCTTACCCCCAGCGACCGCACCGCATTCCAGGCCACAGAACCGCCCCAGACGTGCGGGGTGAAAGCAGCATGGATGTCTCACTCGCAGAACAAATGCATGCAGCATGCTTAGCTTGTGACAGCACTTGACTCCAATTGCTAGCCCTTTCAAAAGCAGCAGCATGCATGCTTGCCTCATCGGTCCTGGTTTCCTGCCGGTGCGATTAGAAAGCAGCATGGATGTCTCACTCGGAGTACAAATGTTCCCGCATGTTCAGCATGCGCAGCCTGTGACGCACTTGATTCACCGCAGTGCATGCCTGAAATTAACGCCCAGTTTTCACCAGCTGCGTGCCTGCAATTGATAGTGCCTTTTGTGACTGCATCGTGCCTTGCCACCTTTCACAAGCAGCGACATGCATGCATGACTCACGCCGGCCTGCCTGAAGTGGACCACGCTTGCACTCAAGCGCATGCACGGCAATCCTCGGCCGCACCGCTTGTGCCCCGAGCGACGCCTCCGTTTGAGGCGCAGCTGCATGCCAACCTCATTCGGGCCGGGCTGCATCGCGTTTGCAGTCCAGGCGCACGCGCAAGGGGTGCCCTTGCAGGAGCATGCCACGCTGCCCAGGACTGGGATGCCCCGCAGAGGCTTTCCAGCAGTCGGGCGCACCGCATGTGCCCCGACTCACAGGAGCCATGTAGAATACTTCGCATCCTGTCTCCTGCAGCCGAGCTGCAGCCTCGGAAGGCCACTCTCTTGCGCACCATGGTGTTCGCAAGACCGACCGGCACCGACCTTACACAATAGGCGCTGCCGCCTTCAAGTCTGGTCGCACCGCTGTTGCAACCAAGGTGTGAGCATGATCGACTGTCCGGCTCCCCCCTCAGCCCGCAGGCTCCGAGAGCAATTAGCGTATAGCAGCTTCCTTGAGCAGTGAGTGCCTGTACACGCATGCATAACGCATGCATTCAGTGTATGCACATCCCGCAGCCGACCAGCCTGCAGTCGAAATTCCCGATCCGCACACGCCTGCGGCATGGAACAGCATGAGATACTGGACGCAATGCATGAGACCATTGCAAGGAGCTACCTGGACTTGGAAATAGTCCTCGAAGACTTTATGTTCGTCTTGCTCAGCATACGCTTCTATATACGCATTGTCGCCTTCTGCATGGTCCTGATGACCCTGTTTGCATTTGCGGCATTCTTGCAAACCCTGCCCTCTGTCTTTCAGACAGAAGACTTTTTAACAGCATCGCTGCTGCGAGCGCATCAGCATGCAGCAACATTGCACGCCGGATGACCATGCCTTGATGCATTACACAAGTGGTACTAAGGTGACCACCTGCATATGCGCCAGTCTCAGTGGATTGCCAGGGTGGCAGCCAATGCATGTCAAACATGCGGTCTCAAGGTTCTAATTCTGGCCACCCTCCATTTCCGCTCGCTAGCATGTCGCTGGTTGCAGAAGCTGACGCATGCCTTGATTCCATCGAGGATATCGAGGACCTTACCCCGCGCCCATGGCCCCAGTGCCACCGCGCGGACGCTTCTCCTTCCCGCAGCCTGCAAGAAGGTTTCGCACAGCTGCTTGACAAGTGGATGCGCCACCCAGAGCATCGCATTCGACTCAAGTGCATCCATCGCATGGGGCATCTTTGCAACTTCCTGCTTGACATCCTTTGCATTTTGGGAGTGCACGGTATGACTTTTTGCATAGCACGCTTGCACTCCCTGTCAACTTTCTTCGTCGACTACCTTCGCATCGACCCCCATTTGGACATGGACCGCATGCTTCAGAACCGCAAAGGCATTTCGGCAGGCTATCGCATGGCCGGCAAGTACCTGGCCATTATCCAGCCTTTCTCCGCACTGTTGTCGAATGTCAAATTTCGCTCTAGGCACAGCATGCGTACAAACATGCAACCATGCTTGGAATTGCTTCGCGAGTGGGAGGCATGCCTGATGATGGAAGACATAGCACTGACCATCCGCTCCAGCATCGCGTTGCTGGAGAGCATCAACTCCTATGTCCACATGCTTCCAATGCCCCGCAGCGCGCATTTCTTGCAGTGGTCAGACAGGCGCCGCGAGTT